GAGACTAATATGCATGCAACATTTGTCGCATAATCACTAAATATGAACGCAATTAGAGGGCAGTAACAAAAAGCCGGCAAGATTATTCATTCAATAATAGTATTTAGATACCTACTCTTACAAATTTTCATTGACACATTTTTCTAGAGTATGTACATTTTATTTATTCAAAGTCAGTTTTTGACTATTCAATTTTTAAATAAATTTAATTTAAAAAATCGCTAATTAGTTACCCTCAAGTTCAACACTGACATCTGGTTTGGCACCAGTTTGCCCTGAGATTTTGGGATGAGGGTAAAACAAGTAAAAATATGCATGCAATGCAAATTCGTTGAACTATCATTGAATATAAGAGAAATTGAGAGGCTGTATAACATAGTGCCACAATTCCTGTTGATTCACATTGATAAGCATGAGATAGAAACATAAATTCACTAAAAATCACGATACCGTGAATATGTGTGAACACGTGCGTGCAAGTGAGTGTGAAAGAGGAGGCAGCTCTCCCGTGCGAAGAAAAAACGCCGTATGAGCTTTTAGGCGTTGCCAAATTTCTTTTGACAAACCACGAGCCATCGGGAAAGTTTGTGAATATTTTTCTACCAATTTTTCAGAGAATTTCGTCGGTGATTTGATCTAAAATATCATAAAATTTCAAGGAAAAATATGAATAACTTTCTTCAAAAATAGAACTTTTCTGAGAGGAAATTTGGCAACATTTGAATGCTCATATGGCGTTTTTACTTAGTGCGGCAGAGCTCGATGTGCATAGCGAGGGATAAAAAAAGAAGAAGAAAGACATAGATGTGTAAGGATACCTGCATTGCAAGAGGCCGATTATTGCAACAGACTCGTTGCAATACTGCAATCGATATGTTGTCAAATTATTCGATAAAAAGAAACATTTCCACCAAAAGATATGAGCATATTCCTTACTTTTCTAAACACCTTAAAATATTTCTGTACACAAATACGTAGATTCCGTAGTGCGTAGTTACAGATTTAGAAAGAAGGTGATCTTGTCATGGTGCGTTAAAATTGTACATTCAACTGAAATTAACAAGATTAAGATTGGAGGCAAGAAATTGGGAGGTTCCTTGGCCCTGATGATGGGACCAACATGACTACATTTTGCAATTTGGAACTAAAATTTCTTGCTTAGTTTAAAATTAAAATATACAACATTATTTTCCGTATGATGTGCGTGGGTGTTTTTACGGATGAGCCAAAAATTTTGGTTCCTAACTGCGAAACGAAGTTCAATTGATGAAATTTAGTTCCAATTGCCTTCCCAATTGTCGTGACTAAAATTACGCCAAACAGAATAACTCTGTGTGGAGAGTATTGTGCGTGATAGCTTTTTTTCGCTATTAGGCAAATTTCAGTTACATGTTACATTACAGATTTTGAATTATCACATAAATAGATAATTTTCATGCATGAAATCAAGTTCAGATCAAAATCAGAGCAAAAATATGGTGCCTCAGAGAGAGCATTCATCGAGCGAGTCAACATGAATAAAATTTTTGTCGCTACTTTTCTTTACGCTGCGTTAAAGTCTCCGCATCAGAATCACTCGTACCAATGTAGTGCGCATATTTTAGAGGATAGAATGAAATAGTTTAACCAGAAACAGCTTAACTGAATTTTTAGTTGCCTAATTTTCTTTCTCTTTTCATTCATTAACAGAAAATTAAACAACTTACCGCCTTGAAACTCGAGAAATTTTGAAGAGAAAATCTGTGGCGTGGTGCTTTAATTCTTACCCTGTCTTATGGTCCATTAAAAAAAGGGACTACATCCAGGGGAAATTTTAGCGAGTCAACTCGGCAACACTGTGCTGGCTTATCAGGGATAAAAATCTCCGTTCACGACGAGGACGAGTAAATCCTCGACTTCCACAGGTGCCAAACTGCACTGGTGAGGCCAGAAACTACTGATACACATAGCGAATTTACTGCACGAGTTGGCAACAGGGTCTACTAAATTCACGCGATGACTGCTGGTGTCGACAACGGCCGTTTTACATGGCACAAGTTATATGCGTCTTGCGAAACGGGTTAAATTAAGAGTTTCATCCCTTCTGACCTTAGTGGCGCTGCAAGAGCCGTGAATTTAATCTCTCCACGGGTTGGCGATGAGTCACTGGCAAGCTGGAGGGATATATGTGCGACTAGAAAGCGGTTTGTTGTTCTTGGACTGTTCTCTGGGTTCAAAATATTCATGTTATTTACCACGACACTCTCAGAAGTCTATACACGTAGAAACCATGATTTTTCGGTTTTCGGCTACTCAAAATGATGGAAACAAAAAATGAGCTATTAGCTAGGCCTAAGTCGCAATCATTGCTTATATTTGTAAAATTGGCTAATAGCTCAACTTTTGTTTTTATACTTAGAAATATACCTGGAATGTTGATCAAATCGTACAAGATGTGTTAAAAACAAAGATTTTCTATTAACAGGTGTACAAAAACAATTTTTGGTGAAAAATAGATTCATACCTATTGATGATGCATATTGCACAAGATGAGGATATAGAATTTGCCGAAAAAGCTCCAGCAGGATCGCCATCAGTGGCAGTTGAGTGTCGCAAACCGCAAGGAAGCGCCATATGCAGAGAGGATATGAGCATTTGCCTCGAAGAATTCGAAAATCCTTCATTTCGTGACGATACTATTTGCGTGACAAAGGTGGCATTATGTTTGCTGACTGGTCCGGCACTCAGAAATGAGAGATGAGACATGTTCATTCTGAGGAATTAGCAATGCTTCTGTCTTGCAGAATGTTAAGGGTTTACTCTATTTACGATCAGCCGTTGGTGTGGAAAAGACAAGGGAAGTGCAACTTCATCCATTTAAAATTACCGCTCGACCAAATGTGTCTATTTTTCATTATAGCATGCAGGGCCCTTCTTGGTTAATTGGCCTCAATGTACGCCCAACGGCCACAATGTATATTACGCTAACAAGGCTGTCCGGGACATCAAAGTAATTCATATTTTATGATTCCCAACTAATAGTTTCAGCCACCTTCTGTTATGGGAAATTTTTCTCCGTTCTACAAGAGTCAAAAAAAAAAAAAAAAAAAAAAAAAAAAAAAAAAAAAAAAAAAAATCTTGGGCGAATTTGTCGTTACCTTGCTGCATCGAAACAGGTTACGTAATTTGGGCTGTCCAAAAGAGAATGCAGAAAAAAGGTGACACGCGAATTCGCAATATTGATTTAATGGTTCAATTCTTATGAGTGGTAATAAAAGAATGAAACACTGGTTGACATACATTTATTTTACTGCCTTCTCGAGAAACGGCGCGTGTCCCTGATCCAAAGTTAAAGTATGTTTTTCGGTCGTGGAACTTACTTGCATATTCTGCCAACGCATTTTTGAAAATTGTGTGGGATCAAAACACAACTTAATGAAAAATTGCAGAGTTTTTCAAACTTGTGTCGAAATTAAAGAATCCGACGACAATATTACAGTTTTGAAAGTAACATGTTACTGAACGTGTGTCATACGCTTAAAAACATTCCAATAATCCGATTACCCATTTTGCAATTCGGAACTAACATTTCTAGCTCCGTTTAAAGACAACGTACCGTCGACCGTCAGTTTCCCCAATTGATTTTACGAGTGAGCCAGAAATTTATTGCAGTTCCTACTTGCAAAATGCAGTCCAATTAGGGATCTAAATTATTATAATTTTGCACACAGGGACATTAAACTGATTGAGTACTCAATATGTCCTTTCAAATCAAGAACAAAATTGTTCGAATCGAGCAGGTTCCTGCTTGATAAATACGACATTCTTCTTCTTGATGCAAAAGAGAGTTTCCACAGCCGCTTTAAGAATAATGTTGCTTGGTTCACATGAATTCCTCCCGAAGTGGATGCTTTCCAAAAACTGAGTATAATGAGCATCAATAAACTGATTAAGTTGATCTATCTTAGATTTATCGATGTATCATTTGATACATCGTGGTCATTTGATACATCGTGGTCCTGGAAATCGTTTGTATTTTCCCAGAAATTGTCTTTTTTAATGATTTCCACAGATATCACCCTCTCCTGATCACACCCTTCTTCCTCCTATTTTTCATCCCATCTCTTCGTCTTCCTCCCCACTTGGAACGCGCTCAACAGAAAGGAGCCAAGTCACATCGGCGATTGCTAAATTTAACCGTGCAATTTAATTTTTTACATGAAAACGGTTGTGCGGATTGTTATGCAAATTTTAGTAAATTTTTTGCATGGTGCGGAGCAAATTCCTTAAAATTTCCAAAAAAAATCAGCTCAACGTTCTCTTGTACACTGGAAAAAAAGTCGCTTGGATCTAGAGTCCAGACTCTTGAAAACATTGACAAGAAAAAATACTCTTGATTCAATCAGATTTTTGCTTGAATCAAAAGGAAATCCGCTCAAATTAAGAGGCTTGGTTCTTGATTTAAGCAAAAATCCGATTGAATCAAGAGTACTTTTTCTTGTCGATGTTTTTAAGAGTCTGGACTCTTCCAGATCCAATGTGTTTTTTTTTTCCAGTGTAAAAAAGTAAACTGCTCCTTTGAATTTGACAATAGCTGGTGTGGCTTGGTTCCTTTCTTCTAAATGCAGTCTACTTTTTTCGACCTTTTAATTCTTTTATCCATCCCTCTTCTTTCGTCTCCCTTTTCTCCCTCTTCATCCCTGTGTTTCCCATTCTCTCCATTGACTTCCTCCTCCCCCCCCTTCATTTTGTTCTTACCTCATATTTAAAGAAGCTATCACCTTGTAAAATTATGATCATGTTGACCGATGTTCCGAATTCGATATGTTCCCAGCTGACGATCCTTTTCTTCATCCCTCTTCTTTCGTCTATCTTTCCTCCCTCTTCATCCCCGTATCTCCCATTCTCTCCATTGACTTCCTTTCCCCCTTCATTTTGTTTTTACCTCATATTTAAAGAAGCTATCACCTTGTAAAATTATGATCATGTTGATTGATATCCCGAATTTTATATGTTCCCAGCTGACGATTCTCGCAGCACTGGCTGCCGTGGCGAAAGCAGGAGTGATCTCGCCGTACGCGGGGCACGGCTACGCGGCCGCCCCGGCCTACCCGGCGCCGGCCCGATACGCCGCTCCCGCCCCTGTCCCGGCTTACGCCCCCGCCTACGCCGCCCCGGTGGCCCACTACGCCCCGGCACCCGCCCCCGCTGCCTACGCCGCACCTGTGGCCAAATATGCTGCACCGGTACGCTCACTTTTATTACACTTTCATTACCGGATAGCGAAGAGAGCAGTGTAAGTGCATGCTGGGATGAACCTCGAGACCCATAAAGACAGGTGCTGACCGTGGTTCGTACAGAAATGCACTTACTGCTATCTTAGCTGATGCGGCTGACCGCCTCATCCAGGAACGTTTCCTGTGATCGTGAATCCATTGGAGAATTTGCACGTGAAGAATTTATTGTTGCATCTAAGAGTGCTTACTGAATTGCCTTCTCAGTCTTTTTCATGACTTATTCCCGATAGGAGAAATTGTAGAAAAATCTATCTAAAAATGAGAGAAATGTCGCCTGGTGACCAGGCAGTTATTCCATTTAAATACATTTATTTCGGAAGATTGGTTAATTTGGTCATATCCTTAATAATAATTGTTTATTTTAGAATCTAGAGACATTCTCATGCTAAGTTCACTCAGTTTTCTCTTGAACCTGAAATCCACAAAATTTCAGACACCTGCGAATTCTCCGTTGGTCGTTTTTTGGACAAAACAATGTAACTATATTTTGAGAGAATAGTTCTCTCTCCCGATAGAATGGTTTCTATATTTTGAGAGAATAGTTCTCTCTCCCGATAGAATAGTTTCTATCTCAAGAGTGTAGTTTTCTTTCCCGAGAGAATGGTTGCCTCTCCCGAGAGAATAATTTTCTCTCTTGGAGGAGAAAAAACTGCAAAATTTCCACTCGAAAATTTTTACTAGTCTCACTAGAAAACTACAAGCTGAGAGTTGAAATATAAACAAAGCGATGCACTGAGAAGGGAAAATGAAAATGGAGCAATCCTATTCTTTTAAACGGGTGGTTGTGACTGACCATTCTCTTTCCGATTAAAAAGTCATCCCTTTTAACTCTCGAGGTTGATTATTGAAAGTGATAGACAAAGCGATGGACAAAGAAGACGTAGGAGGTATGGAGCGATCCAATGGGTGAAAATGAGTGGTTCCTATAAACTTATTGAGAAAATGATGGACATGTATAGGGTCTTTCATGGGTTGCCGTTAGTTAGTATGTTACCATTGTTACCTACCTCCTTGCAACAACCCGCTTCCACCAATAGGATTCCTCCGTATCCGTTTTGTCTTCTTTGTCTAAAGCTTTGTCTATCAATTTCAACAATCGATCTGCTGGTACTTCAATTCTAGGACCGGGTACTTCCAAATACTTAAATTATTCGTGTTTCCAGGTTTACGCCGCACCGGCTGCCAAATACGCCCCCGCCTACGACGCGGAATACGACCCACACCCCTCCTACAACTTCGCCTACGACATCCAGGACGCCTACACGGGCGACTCCAAGTCCCAACACGAGTCCCGGCAGGGCGACGTAGTCAAGGGTAGCTACAGCTTCATCGAGGCCGACGGTAGCCGAAGGACCGTCGACTACACGGCCGACCCCCACAACGGCTTCAACGCCGTCGTCCACAAGGAGCCCGCCGGCCACCCCGTAGCACCCAAGCCGGCGTACAAGGTCGCACCCGCCCCTGTTGCTTATGCAGCCCCCAAAGCATACGCCTACGCGCCCGTCGCCTACGCACCCAAGGCCTACGCTGCCCCAGCCTACGCCTACGCCCATTGAGGGCACCCGGCACCGACCACACAGATGATCTCTCCTCGATGCTTCGTCCTGAGCATGGTTTCCTCCCTTAGGGAGAAGCGGGTTTGAAAGGGGTGCATTTTCCGATAAGGAACTACTTCTGGTTTATCTATAAAAGCACCGTAGGAAAACTGGACCACATTTTGCAATTAGGAACTACCTTTTTCTAGCTATTTTTAGAAAGAACATAAGTTTTATTCGTTCCCCTATGTGGACAAAAGCTTTATGAAGGGGTCAGAAATAGTAGGTCTGTACTGCAAAATGTGGTCCGATTGGTGCATTCTTTGCCTCGAAAATTAGACTTGAATAGTAGTTCTAAATTGCAAAATGTTGTCCAAAATATGTATAACCAATTTGACTTCAAATTGCAATGAGATACTAAAATTTGTAACTCATTCATAAAGGTACCTTCCTTCAGAGGGAAACTAGTTGTAAATGCGGTGCTTTAAATGAGCTAGTAATGGCCTGCATTTTGCAATTAGGAACTGCAATTTCTGGCTCATTCGTAAAAACACGCATGTGCATAAGGAAACTAATGGCACGTACAATGTTTTTAAACTGAGTCAGAAAGTGTAATTCTCAATTGCAAAATTTAGTCCAAATAGTAGTTCTACGTTGCAAAATGAAGTCTAATTAAAACGGGTCTACTTTGAGGGTGTTTATATTTGACAAAAGGGCGTAAGTATATTTCAACGTTGCAAAATTTCCAAAGGCAATTTATTTTTCCGCAAGAAAACCGTCGGGCATCTGATTGAATAGCAGAATTTTGAATAGTGACCGTACGGTAATATTCTCGTGAAAAAATTAATGTTTTTCGTCAGTTTTGTAAACTTGGAATAAAGGTACCTTCATTCGTCTGGAACTTGACAACATGGTGAACGTGAGAGCGATTTATTCAGAATGAAGAATACATAGTCCCAACTCTTACTCCCATGTCAAAAAATTTTAAATTATCTCATGGTAACGTTTTTGGCGATGCGTACTAAAGAGGAACTTAATGTTGTGTTGCGGGTTAATTTTTTTTTCTTGGATGGAATCATGCTCATTATTAGATTTAAGTATCACTGTTCTCTACAAGAATATTGATGTTTTAGATTTTCGTTATAATTTCTTATTTCTTAAGCTGGTTTGTTTATGAGCTTCAATATTTTAAGCGTTTTCGATAAATAAGATTGTTTATCGTTGAAAGTTGCACAAACATTATGTATTTTCTAATTATATTGTTTGTAAAATAATTTTTGCTGCTGCGTCACGTATGCATGAAATATATTTAAAAAATTGTCCACTTCGTAACCCTCTTTATGATCTCTGGACCGGATTTTTATGGAGCTGACCACTCGGTTGGAGCGACCATAGTTTTATTTTTTCCCCTTGGACAAGCCTAAGCTAATTTACTTGCAAACTTGCAAAAAACGTACAGTCATTAACAAGCCATACCAGTCGTTAATCTCATATGACAATAAACCTTCGATACAACATCTGCGTTAAATAAGGTGCTTAGAGAACATGAAATATGATAAAGTTTATTTTTCGGTGACACTTAACACCATAACTTCTAACTTTTTGAGTTTGAGAAGAAAACAAAAATAATGGTTCAAAAACGGATATAGAAATATGAAACAACTGAAACGGTTACCTTCCAAATATTGGCTTAAGTTGAAATTGTGAGTCCCAATTCCGGTATTCAGTATTCTTCAATCCCTATAAATATTTAAAACTAGAGAAGTACATGCTCCTACAAACACTACATGTTTCGGAGATCTACGAACAAGTTACCACCTTACGATGATTTCTAAGAAATTTGGTCGTCCCACGTTACTAAGAGGCTGAAAATGGCATTAAGAACCAATGCAACATCCAATGCGATTGCTTCCATCATAACTCGGGGCCCTTATGCCGAAATCCTGCTGTCCACAGATCTAAATCTAGTCCACATGTTACGTCAATGGTCCAGTGTTTTCAACCCAGTATTAGATACGTTGTCCCCTTTGCGCGATAAAATGGTCAATTTTACACAGGCTCTTGATGAAAGGTTTGGTTTTTATTGAAGTTTGACATCACTGTCGAATTGGAATCTCTTGCAGTTGAGCTCCCAATCAACCGTGTAGAATTGATCCGATGTGCTTCGAAGAGCCTAAGTTTGAGGGTAAACGCCTTCTTTTTCTCTGCTACAGGGAAAAGTTGGAAATGGGGAAGCGAAGGAACTGTTAATTATTGAAATTCGATTGCACGCACCCGTTTTAGACATATGTGCAGCTCTACGTATACGATCCTATTAAGGAATCAGTTACGTTTCTTCGTCGATAGTGAAGAATGCATGGCAACGTGGCTTCGAGACTGCACGCGTGAGAGAAAATCCAGGGCGCCTTCAATACGTCTTAATTAACTGCCGGATGGATTAGCTCCAGATTGACTCCCTGAAACGCTCGACAAGCATCAGGCCGGCATCCGAAAGGGTCTTGCGTACTCCACCGTGCTAAGAAAAAACGCTGTATGGTTCCTTTCAATTTAACGTCCCATTGCCCTTTATACACGTATAACCACTGAAGGATCCATTCGTGATTGACCTAGGCATTTTACGCTTTTTATGAAACTATTGGGACCCGCCNAAAAAAAAAAGGCGGACGATGCATGTGGATGATTCAGATAATTGAGGTTACTCTGTTTGTCCTACCGTGAACTTACTCAAATCATGCGCAGGGTGATCCAAAAGTCCCCTCCAACCCCTCTAACTTTTTACCTAATTGAGGTAAAGATTTAAAATATGGGGGCTGTTCCTAGGCCAAAAAGAGCTACTCTTTAGCCCTTTCTAAAAACATCAGGAAGCCCCTAGGGAGGGGGGCTCCGACTTTTTTTAAAATTAAAAACCCTTGGGATACCTCGTTCGAAAGAACATAAAAATAAAACTTTTCGCGGAAACCCGAAGTCAATATCTCAACCCGAAATAGAAAGGTGGCTGGTTAGAGTTCAAGATGACCGAAACTTGGTATCGGTTCATACCAATATTCCTATAAATGATAAAGCACAAAAAATAGCCTGAATATACGAATGAAGACCATAAGTATAGACGATATACGATATATAAAATAGTAATCGCTCCTTCTTCATTTATCCCTATAAAGATACTCCACCAAGTACTGTTCTTTAATATATTCGTATGGATTTTATTCCTCAGACACATATCACTGAATGTTTTGTTATCAAGGTAATCTTTTTCACCTCCCTTCTGCACTTTCTATCAAAGATATTGTTTTACCTTGGAGCAAAAGCAAATCATAGCATCCTCGATCAAATTCTCACCTGCAACAAAGAAGGATAAATGAATTAGCTTTTGAAAATATTCGTGCTCAAGTTGAAACTTAGATGGTAAATGTGGATTTATTTTTTACTTAGAGCATTTCCTGACTGTAAAAACAAATTATCAGGTAAAATGATAATTGATAAATTATGTAACCAAAAAAAACAAAAAAAAAAAAACAATGTTAAATAGGAGCTACAAAAAGATCTCATTTGCATAGCAAACTTTGAATAAACAAGATAAACCGTGTCTATAAGTAAAATGTAAAGTATTAATTTAAAACGGAGTGGTCCAAGGCAAAGGAATATTGTTTTCATGGCACCAATCATTTAAGGCTTTTCAGAGAAGCTCGTCAAACTCACTGCAAAGTGTTGATTATGTTATTCCTTTGTTTTTACCATATTTTTTTTTTTTTTTTTCAAAAATTGAAGCGTTGGAACCTATTGCAGAAATCGGCAAGGAGTGAAAACCTGATCACTTCATTAAAACGAGATCCACATAATATTCCTCTTTTATTAGCAGCTCGCCATTTAGGTCAGGGTCATACTGATGAATGGCACAGTCGCAGGCAGTTATTGAGACAATGACCTGCCTCTCGGAAAAATAAACAAACTTTTTAGTGGCGAGCCGTGAATGATCGATTATCGATTTTTCTCCATTTCGAAGCTATGGAAACGGATCGATTATCGATTTTTCTCCATTTCGAAGCTATGGAAACGAATCGATTATGAAGGTGTTCGTTGCGAACACACTGTTCATCGATTCTTTTCCATAGGTTTGAATGGTGGGTCCATCGATACATCGCAAAGTACGCCACGCTTTTGAAACCTTTCCGATTGATCTGCATTGAGAGCGTGCCGGAGGGAAAATGTGACAAAAAACCGAGAGCTTGTTTTCAAACATACACCTGAATGGTCGGTATTAAATCTTCGGCGCCGTTCAATTTCCCTGCTCTAAATACATTGTTTTGATTCCTCCGCAAAAACTATAACAGACAGAGAGAACCTCATTTATGAGTGTTTAATAAAGCGTTAATGAACTCATATGCGAGATCTTAATCGCGAGTGACGGTCTGAAAAATAAACGAAAGGCCTGTTCATAAATATTGCACGAATAGCCTCTGGCTGGGCTGCTATCAGTGGCGTGGCGTGCTTTGTGATATATCGATTGATCTGTCATTTAAAGCTATGTGAAAGGATGATTAATAAACAGGGTGTCCGCAAAGAAAACCTGAATAATCGATTCTTTACCACAGCCTCAAATGGGAAAATATCGATAGTTGATCATTGGTGACAAAAAGCCAATTTTCTGGGAAAATTGAAACCTCGAATTTTATTCGTAATTTGATCTAAAGTGTCTAAAAATTCCAAGATAGAATATTAAAAACTTTCTTCACCCATACATATTTTCCAAGAAGAAGTTTGGGGGCGTTTGAATACTTATACGGCGTTTTTCTCATTGGCGTGGCGTACATTATACGACATATCGATTGATGTGCCATTTAAACATATGAAAAAGGATCTATAAACAGAAAGTTTGCAGCGAATACCTTATAAATCGATTCTTCGCCACAGCTTCAAATGGGCAAATATCGAGAATCGATCATTCACGCCCCACCACTGGTTTTTCCTAAGCACGGCAGAATGTTCGGCGAATATCATTATTTTTTTAACCAATATTTTGATTGACGCCAGCAAGATCTGCAACTTTTCCCTCAGAAATAGTACGCAAGGAGTAAGAATTTTTTCTAAGATTGAAGCATGAACGTCTTGGAATTCATGCACAAGTAATCAAGCGTTTTGGACACTACATTCAAGCCTAGCTTCTCGAAGAGAGACTAACATAGCGAAGTAGCCTTGAAAATGGCCCGAGCTTTCCAAAGCTGAGAGTAATTACATCGAATCAAACCCAAAATTGCGCACCGAAAGGAACTACTGTGATTGCACACCTGTGGAGGACCCATAAAAATCCACAATTCCTCTGCTTTGCGCCGCAACGGTGCGTCATAAATTCATCAACTAAGAGGCTGCGCAAGACAGTGGTTGCAATGGGGCATTCGATGGCCAAAACGTTCGTAGTAGATTTAAATAACCCGCTCGTCAAAAAACCAACACTAACGTGCAACAAACCAGCCATTGAAAAAGAACCTACACGTTGGAAAAATAATTGGGACCTGGTTTCGCACACATTTCTTGAGACACCTCTTGTGTTGTTAAAAAAACAGAAAAAGAAAAAGGAAAAAATTAGAAAAGATAAAATCGTTCCGTCAAAAAGTATATCAGCTAGAGATCGAGTGATCAAGGTAAAATTGTGGGGTAAAAACTGTACATCCATAACAAAGCACCTGGTCTCTTCTCCGCTGACTCAGAGAATTTAACGCATGAGTAGAAAAGTGAACTTTGGAAAAAATTTAAGTGGGGTGAACTACGTGATACAACTATTTCGACTGCCAAGTGGGTAAAATTGCCTATCCACAAATATTCAGGAGAACTCTGTCTCTTTTCCGCCGACGCAGAGACTTTAACGCAAAGTAGAATTTTCCGAAAAGATCGATTTGACTCGAATTTAGTCTATCGTAAGCGGTAAGTGTAAGTTATTGACGCACAGAAAAACGCAACTGTCTCACTTATGAACCGAAATTCGAAAATGTCAATGAGTCCAACGTCTTACACGTAATTAGGAACTATATACTGTAAGCCTTCACTTCGTATATCCTGTTCATTGAAGGAATTTCATAAGTTAATTTTGATAGTTTAGCTTCTCTTTCTGAGTCTAATATCATTCTTTTACTTTTCCAAGATTAGAGATTTTTACATAAAATCCTTAGTAGACGGATGCAAATCTCAATGCGTAATTGCGAATGCAAGTGGCCAAAATCCATACAACATGAAGAGCTTTCCCTTTGACAAATAAGAAAAAATAAATATATGAACAGTTTTAAGTATGTTTCTGCACAAATTCGATGTGTGCAGCGCCATCTATCGA